TAGTTTCAATTGACTTTACTGCCTGGATGTTTTTTAACCTCGTACACAGCACAGATGGCCAGACTTATTCTGTGTAAGCGTTTGAGGGGAAGCGAGCTGGCCCAGAGATGTTTTTATTCCCAATGATAGCGTTTCCACGTGGACGCAGTAGCTCAGGATCACGTTGAGAGTCGGCTGGCTGCTAAGGTCTGGGCTGCCTGTGTCTTGAACTTCCTAGGGGTTGGAAGTCCTCCGTCCTGCTTCACGGCTCACCCTTACACACCGGGCAATTCTCTATTTCCCTTGGCCTTTTTCTCCCAGCACATGGTGTGTGACCTCAGGTCTTGCTGTGGGCTAATTAACGTCTTCCATCCCCTCAGCCCTAATTCAGTGAGAGCTATTCTCGCTCAAGGCCACGAAGACAAGAATTATAGACTGGAGAATAATGAGTTGAAAGCTACGAATGCCTAGGATCTTGTGCTAAGTTTGCTAAACACTGGCTTGGTGGTCTTTGCAGGCATCTCACTGGAAACAAAACAAAACATACCACATACTGTGTTTTTCCTCCGCTTTTTATTTGCATCCTCATACGGGCTAAATATTTCTTGGATAACAATCATTAGGATTGTTGTTGTTAGTGGCCTTTATAAGAAAACTGAGATGCATGATTACATCTCAACACTTTCCAGTTTATAAGGATTATAATTTAAATTTACTCCCTGCCACAGAGTCAAATTTTATTTATAGCAGCCCTATAGGGTAGAATAAAACTGTCCTTGTGGGTTTCTGAGAGTGTTAACTCTTTAATGGGAGTAGAAATCTTCAGCTTTCTCTTGTGGAATGGTGAGCGGTTTCGAACTGCTGACCTTGAGGCTGTCAGCCCAATCCCCTAGAGAAATTACAACATATTAAAACGTACATTTAATAAATAGAAATCTTTAGAAGAATTCCTTGTATTGGTCCTTGCCTGTTTTATGTGGTGTTTATTGCTGGGCCTTTGCTTTATGCTTGCCCGTGTTGTAGATGCTAGTCTGTATAGGGAGACCAGGGGGAGTGGAAGTAGGAAGACACCGGCGGATTAGTGATCGGCTGAGGACACAGAAAGGAAGGGTGGGGGAAATGAGGCGTCAACATCAGTTGGTACAAAAGGTTTCAGAGTAGATTGTGGCAATGATTACATCACCCTTCTTGATGTAAATGAACTATTGAATTGTATGAAATGTAAATTATAGCTCAATGTGGTAGTCTGGGTAAAGTAGGGCAACAAATCCATAGATACTCATATGTATAAGAGTTTTATATAGAGAGTAAGTGTACATTAAGAAAGCATCCCAACCCAGTGCTGCCCAAGCCCATAAGTCCAACATTAGCCCATATGCCCGACACCTATCCACAAAGTCCTCCTCCATCTCACAAAACACACGCAATGACGCCAACTGTGGAGGAAAGCCGAATTCGGTGAGTATGTAAGCATCTCACTGCTGGCAGGGGTCTCCACACGGCTGCTCCAGCACCCAGGGCTGCACCAGGGTAAGTCCATGTAGCTTCTCCTCAGGGATGTCTTGCTGGAAGTAAGCCTTGCCCACTGAAGCAGGGAATTGGCTAAAGCAGCTGCACCCTGGTCCGACCATCAGAGAGCAAGAGACCTGAGAACTAGAAGGGCGAGGCTCACTGAGCCATTTATCTCTCTGCCCTTCAGTTAACCACACATGTGTTTATAGACCAGGTTGGCACAATAAACCTTAACTATCTCACTCAATAAAAAGAAGTACTTCTATTTTATGTTTGTGTGTGTGTATGTATGTATGTATGTCCATATGTTTGTATTCGGAACCCTGGTCATGTAGTGGTGACATGTTTGGCCGCCGTCCACGTGGTTGGCAGGTGGAAACCACCAGCAGCTCCACAGGAGGAAGGCTGAGCTTGTTCCTCCCGTAACAGTTACAGTCTCAGACACCCCCTGTGAGTCAGCATTGACTCGATGGCGGTGAGTTTTGTTTTAGGGACATAGCGGTGTGTGTATATTCATATATCTGTAATCACGAAAGACTTTGAGGAGAACATACTATCTGACTGAAGAGAACTGTGTTGTTGTTAGGAGCTAGTGAATCGGTTCTGACGCGGAGCAACCCTGTGTACCAGGCAGCAGAAGCCTGCTGGTCCTGTGCCACCCTCGCAAGTGTTGCTGTGGTGGAGCCCTTTGCTGGAGCCACCATGTTGGGCTATCTCGGGTACCAAACTCAACTAAAATGCAGGCCATTTGGTGCAGCAGGCAAGATTCATGGGGGCCACATCACATTGGCGCATTTTGTTAAATTTGTATTTTGAAGTGAGGATTCAGGAATATGGACAGGATGATTAAAACACTATATAATTGATTTTATTTAAACATTTATTTTATTTAATGTATTTACAAAACTACAATTATTCTTTTTTACCGGAAACTTGCCAGCACTTTCCCCACACTAGTTTTCACTTACCTTATGCTGTGACTGGAAAATAGAACAAAGTAACTAATAAAAAACACACATGTTGGACAGCTGACAAACTGATGCACAATCCTAATGGCTTCCCTCTAAAAATGTTAACTAGCGCTGCTGCTAGGTATGATTCATAACAGCACAACCCAGAGTGCTCTTTTGAACCTTTTCACTACTGGGATCTGTTTACATGACGTGACACTGAGAGTGGCAGACATATCGCTTCCAAATGTCGCCAGAACTGAGTTAGCGTGCTTATACACGTCCACAGGACCCCAGCAAAGGCACTGGGCCACGTGTATATTTGTCTTCAGTAGTTAAAGGGTTAACCAGGGAATTGTGTGGACGATATTGCCACTAAGTGCTATTTTCTTCATAACATTTTTTCCTATTTTCATTTTATTTCAGAGCATCGTGGGCCACAAAAAATTACCTTGGGGGCTGCATGTGGCCCGCGGGCCACTAGTTTGACAGCCCTGCTCTCGCCTGTTGAGGGTCTTCCTCTTTTTCTCTATTTTTTTTTTAACATTTTATTAGGGGCTCATACAACTGTTATCCCAATCCATACACACATCAGTTGTGTAAAGCACATTTGTACATCGTTCCTCAAAACATTTTCTCTCCATTGAAACCCCCAACATTAGGTCCTCATTTTTCCCCTCCCTCCCCGCTCCCCCCTCCCGCATGAGCCCTTGATAGTTTATAAATGGGTATTTTGTCATATCTTGCCCTGTCCTACGTCTCCCTTCATCCACTTTTCGGTTGTCTGTCCCCCAGGGAGGAGGTCACACACAGTTCCATGTAATCGGTTCCCTCTTTCCTACCCATTCTCCCTTTACCCTCCCTGTTTCGCCACTCACACCACTGGTCCTATAGGGCTCATCCGTCCCGGATTCCCTGTATTTTCAGTTCCTATCTGTACCAGTGTACCTCCTCTGGTCTAGCCAGTCTTGCGAGATAGAATTCGAGTCATGGTAGTGGGAGCGGGGAGGAAACATTTAGGAACTAGAGGAAAGTTGTATTTCTCATCGTTGTTACATCGCACCCTGACTGGCTCATTTCCTCCCCGAGACCCCCCTGCAAGGGGATCTCAAGTTGTCCTTGTGTGGGACTGGTTCCTTCTGATAACATGCCCAAAATATGTGAGACTCAATCAGCAGTTTTGCTTCTCTGGAGCATTCTGACTGTACATCTTCCAGGAGAGATTTCTTTGTTCTTTTGGCAGTCCATGGAATCTTCAACATTCCTCATCAACACAGTATTTCAAAGGCTTCAGTTCTTCTTCCATCTTCCGTATTCACTGTCCAGCTTTTTCTGAAGTGATTGAAAATACCATGGTTTGGATCAGGCGCTCCTTGGCAATCAAAGTCACACCTTTACTTTTTAACACTTCCCAAGAGGTCTTTTGCAGCAGATTGTTCAATGCAATATGTCATATGATTTCTTGATGGATTCTTGATGGGCATTGGTTGTGTATCCAAATAAAATTAAATCCTTGACAACTTCCAACTTTTGTCTGTTTACCATCATGATGTTTACTGGTCCAGGGGTAAGGATTTAAAGTGGTAAGTTCTTGATGCTGCCACGTAATTCATACTGAAGGTTGTATTCTTTGATCTTCTTCCATCAGTCCGTGATGCACGTCTTCTTCAGCTAACGGTTTTATATCATCTGCGTATCGTAGGTTAGTGAGTTTTCCTTCAGTTGCAATGCTGCAGTCTTAATTTATTACAGCCTCTTGGATTATTTGCTCAATATACAGATCGGAAAGTATTTTCAAAAGACTTAACCCGGACACACATTGTTCTTGATTTTAAACCCTGTTGTACCCCTTTTCTGTTTGAAGGACTGTCTCTTGGCCGATGTTCAGTTTCTGATTTGCACATTTAAGTGTTCTGGAATTCGCATTCTTTACAATGTTGTTCTTAGTTTGTCATGATCACACAGTGAACCATATTTAGTACTTTACAAACCACTGTTGTCCAATGGATTCTTAGTCCCAAAGGCCACACAGGACAGAGTAGACCTTCCCTTCCGGTTTCCACTGCTGTCCATCTTTATGGAAGTGGACCGCCGCATCTTTCTCCCATGCAGCGGATGACAAGTTCTACCTCTGGGCCTGTTGGTCACAGCTGAGTGCTTAACCCCTGTGCCAATGGGACTCCTTAATATGCTACACGTTTTAGAAAATATTTTTTCCTAAGAAACCTGAAATCTGAAAACCACCAACTGACTTAGCAACCCCTTTATTTATTGATGATATCTAAGCCAGAGAAACCCAAATTCTGAATTCTTAATGCTCTTCAGTGACCTAGCTGATTGACATCCTAGCAGCTTTCCAATTAAATGACAGTGCTGACCGTGTCAAGCATGTGGTCAAAGACGTTTTCGTTATCAAGTCAGAGCTAGACAGATTGTCATAGCTAGACAGATTATTTTCCAGCCATTTTGGAACCAGAGGGAAAAGGGAGAAAGAGAGTTTTAAAAAAAACCCACAAAACGTTAAACCACACTCAAAATGTTTTTCCCTTTTTCTTTCAGGCCCTCCAGGGAAACGAGGGAAGAGGGGCCGAAGAGGAGAATCCGGTAAGTTTCTCCTTCAGCTGCTCCGTGTCATTCAAGTTCTAGGGAGCTTCCCGCATCTGCTCCTCTGCGTTAATGCTCGTGCAGTGGAGCTATGCAGCACCTGCGTGTGTGTCTATCAGTATGTGTATGCGTGTTTCTGCTACATTTCTGTTACATTTCCCCCTCCCGTTATCAACATGCTGCTGCTTTACAGCGACGTCTAGGAAGGCAACCCTTACTAAATATTGTTGATTGCTATGTAATAATCCTTTGGCACCCCGTTGTGGTTTATGTAGTGTGTCTAGCCCAGCCTGGCCTTCTTGGGCCCAGGAGAGGGCTTCTGAACCTCCCACAGTGCACTGACCACACCGTGCCTCCCTCTTCCTCGGTGGTCACGAACTGCCTGGGGGTTCCCCCCACAACATCTGTGTGGGACACCAGGTACATGTCTTGGACGGCTACAGTGGGACTTTATCCAACTGGCACCGTTTCGTCCGACTTGTACGCTCATTCTTTGCAAAACTGAGGGATTTCTATTCTTCTTGCATAGTCATGGAATTACAGTGCTGACAGGAGCCTCAGCAATCAATCCAGCGTTTTCAATCGATTGTTACAACTCAAATGGCACCCCAGAGCCGTCAGGTGACTCAGCCAACACCACGCAACTTTGAGTTAGTGGAACTTGAAACCAGATCAGTTTTCCCGACTCCCATTTCAGCGATGTTGTGCTTTCAGGCCAAATCCCTAGATGCAAAATGAATTTTTTAAAAAGTCAAATGAAAGCATTCGTTTGGAACCAAGACATCCAAGTACGTGACTTCACTGATGGTTCTGTTCTTTGAAGTCCAAGATTCTGAAATACCAGTGCCCATGTAGAATCTGATCAGGCCATCTGCCCTTCCTTGCGAATTAGAAGGAAGGTTAGCTAAGAGAAGGTGGAGACCTGCTGCCACAGCGGTTAAGCACATCACTGTCAACTGAAAGGTTGCTTGGTCAAACTCACCAGTGCCTCCACGAGAGAGACATGATGTACTTCGGAAATACTGTAGCCGAGAAGACTGTCACCTGAGGTGGCCTTGAGTCCAACTTGGCTTGTGGGGGCCTAACAACGACGAGTCAGAGAAGAGGAAACTTTGATTTTAAAGTGGGGAGAACCGTTCTTTCCGTGTTCCGTGTAAGAGTATTACAGTATTCCAATCCACTGCTAAGTGTTACCATGGTTGGCACACTCATCTATCACATATAGCAGGCAGGAGAGGGAGATTCTTCGGAAAAAGATGTCAAATTTCAAAGATTTGTGAAGAATTCTTTCATTTGGACAGTGTAGGGACTTCATTTCTTGAAGCAATGTCGTCTCAAATGTTATCTTTAACATTCATTGGTTCTATGGAATGGGAAACATGTATAGGCCTCTCTCCAGGAAATGCGAGTTTTCATAGTAGAAAGTGAGTTGGTAAATTTGTTTTTGAAGAAACAGGAATGAGAGAACGCGAGCAGGAGTCAGGTACTAGCTGCATTGCTTTTTGTGTCCAAAGAAATAGAAAGGATGGAGAAAAAACAAGACTATGTTGTGTATGTGAAACGTTATAGAGAATATAAAAGTTCATGCTCAAGAACATGGCTGCCAAGAACCGATAGTTGTAATTGGGCAGCTAACGTTTGAAAAATTGAAATCCTGTTAGACTTTGTGGTTTGATGAGAATATGCAGGAGGGCTTTGGAAAATATGTGGAAAATTCCATGAAAAAATAATGAATTTTTTTAATAGACTTTTTGAAGGTCTCTCATTTTTTCATATATACTTGATCTATAACATACAGTTTCAAAGAAACCCATTAAATGTTAGGATTTTAGTCTTTAATATATTGGCAATATTGTTGATTGGATAATATTCTCATAGCAAATAATGAATCTATTTCTGATATGACTATTTTAACAATTTCAAGAAGTTACATACCAACCCTTGAAAGCCAGTCTATAATAACAACCAACGATTCTCCTAATTTATATTTTGCTTAAATTTTTAGTCATTACACTGGCTTCACTTAACATATGTAAGTTAATTAATCCATAGATGCAGTCTCCTGACATTTGAAAATTCCTTGAGGTTTTATGTAAAATCATGTGTATGTAAATAGCATTTTTCTGAAAAGGGTCTCTCAGAAGGGTCACTAATCTAAAAACAAGATTAAGACTCATTGAATTCTAAATGCCTCCAATCTTGTTAGGCTGGTGATCATGATGATTTAACCCTGGTATTGTGCATGTCCACTAACTGTTCTCTCCCTTTCTCTCTCTCTCTCTCCCTGCTGCCTCCTCCACAGGTCCTCCTGTAAGTACTTTGCTGCATTTTGAGCCTTCTCCCTTAATCAAGTTCACGTATGTTAAAGCTTTGTTCCAATATCAAAATAGAGTCTGTGTTTCCACTAGAACAATGTCACTGGCTGTTTAACAGTTATTAAGTGGGGTAACTGAACACTGCTTGGGAAATTCTTCTTTAAATACTGGGCTGCGATAATGTGGTATATGGCAATTAAAAAAAATAAACACTTTCATTTTTTGATACGATTATGCACCAATTACCCTCTTGGGACATCTTGAGGGGAATGGCTTACACAGCTCCTGACGGTAAATGCTTTTCCTGGAATTCTGCGGTTTCTTTTGCAAGCCAATTGCCAAGTTATTTCACACTATTTTTTTTCATCTGTTTAAATTTGTATGTGAAATATTTGCATTTGCCAATCCTCCAAATGTAGTGGGCAACCTGATCATGGAAGTGATCCCCTCTGGGGGCCTGGTCTGGGACGCCCTCCTTCAGTAACACTCCCTTTGAAGTCCATTGGAGTTTTGTCCACATATGGAGGAAGACCCGGCCCTCAGAGAGTTTCACTTTCTTTTTCTTTCTGGGGCAGGTCATAGCTGCAGCATTCCAGGCTGGCTTGTGCTCACAGGAATAGATGATCTTGTCAGCTTTGAGTTTGATGTGTTTTTGAGTAATATCCTGAATATCTGTTGTCTGACCCCAGTGTTTATGCTGTGCACTGTGCTTTTATGGTAGCAATGATCATTGGCCTTGGGATATTTCCTCATCCCCAATAGCCCGTTTGCTCCAGGGTTCACAGACTCCACACTGGCAACGTATCTAACAGGCCAGCACGGTCCAGGGAGAGGGGCTTAGCATATATACACTTACTTCATTCAGAGGAAGCGTTGGCTTCCAAATATCTTTCGCAGTCTTCCTGCCATGCTTGAGGATGGAGCATAAATCATGTTAGGAATGACTTCCCTTCCACAGTGGACTTCCAGCTCTTGTTTAATGCTAGGCAGATGACACAGCCCAGGTCTAGGAGCCTTTACTCTTTGGGTTCATATTTAAGCCTCTTTCTTTAAAACTAGAAACAAACTGTTACTACCTAGAGGAAACTCCAGAGATTACAGCGAGACTAGAGTGAGTGTTCAAATATCTTTTCTTCTTCTTTTGGTAGCTAGAAGTATTAGGCGTGGGAAAAAGTAGTTAAATCTTATTTCTGCCTTATACTGATGTTCAGGTTTCTAATATTTCTTCTTTGATCCCTCACAAATTCAGGCAGTCATGTAGCTCCTATTTCCTGGGCCAGTCCAGTGGTGGGATTCAAATCATTTAACAAATGGTTTGAGCTCTAATGACCATTTTAAGTATAAAGAAATGATATACCTGAAGGTAGTTTATTATTTCATATGGTTAATACTTAAATAAGAACAATAAAAGATGTACAAAAAACTAGATTATCTTATAAGAAAGCTTTACAAGATTAATGGAAAATATTAAATAATACCTGACAAAAACAACAAAACTATTTCCATGTTCTTGATTGGTATCCTCACTTGCAATATGCTTCACTTTTTCCCAAGCATCATCAGCTATGTGATTTATTCTTAGCCATCTTTTCCCATAGGAGTAGGAGCCACTCATTTAGAGATAGGCCAGATAGACAATGGTCCTTGTGTTTGAGCGACTAGAAACAGGCAGCTTCTCATCTCTGAACTCACTACGTTCATCTTTGAAAACCCGCTGCCAGCTGCTGCTGCACTTTAAGTAATTGTTCTGATAATGTTTTAAGCTCTTTGAACACTCTTCAGGAATCACAGATTTCACTCATAATATCCGGTGGGAATTTGAGGCATAACACAAAATAGAAAGGGACGACAGCATGTCACTCTCTGGTTGTTTGGCACTTTTTCTCGTTACGTTCTCTTTGTTTGCTGAAGTAATAAACACGAGGGAATAAAAATACAGTGTTTCATCCAAAGTAGAATGTGTTTTTGGAATGAGTAAATACTACAAGCATAGTTCCATCTAATTTTTTATACCTGTGGATGTAATGAATATCACTATTGGCTCTTAGCCTATGCTGTTGTTCAGATGAGCATTAAAAAAGAGTAAGAGAGGTAAATTTGTGATTTCCACATTGGGTGACTGCCCAGCTGCCCATTTTAGAGAGAACCCTGATTACAAGTGCCATTTTAGCAATCGATTCATCGAACTCAACAAAAAATTAGGTGTTGAGTCTTCCAAAGCTGTGCAAACTGGTTGAATCCCATACTGGGTCCGTCTATTAGTCCATAGTCTCTACCTAAAGATTTATCTCGTTCTTCTTCGTCTCCTTATAGAAATAGCAAAGAGGACTAGCATTACTAAGCCCCCAGAATGTGGCAGTCACCACTGCGGACCCTTTACACACGTCAGTTCCCTCTGTTCTCCCAGCAGCTCTCTGGCATTACTATTCTCCTGGTCCCTGAGGAGACTGAGTGCAGAGAGCTGATGCACCGCATGCTGCACAGAAGGTGGAGCTCAATTAGGTCTGTCTGATTTGAAAACCTTCTACTTCCCACATGATTCCCTTTTCCTATGACAGAGTGTTATCTAACATAGATCATCATTACACAGGTTTGGGATGCCATAGGGTCATATTCCTTATTATAAATAAAAGCATATAATAAAAGCATAACTTAAAACATGAAATGACTAATCTATAAAACAAGCATTGCTACTGCCCCACACAGTTACATCGTAAAGAAGTTATAATAATACAGAAGGCATCAGTTTCAAAAAATACATTTTTGATCATTTTATTGGGGGCTCATACGACTCTTATCACAATCCATACATACATCAATTGTATAAAGCACATTTGTACATTCGTTACCCTCATCATTCTCAAAACACTTGCTCTCCACATAAACCCCTGGCATCAGCTAAGAAATACATTTGGATCAAGAATTTTCTTATTGATTTAAAGAATTCAAGTTGCTAACTTTTAATAAGGTGGAAATCACTAACTGAAAAAGAAAATATTAATCATGGTATTGTCACTAATACGTTAGAGTAAGAGCCCATAGCTTGGCACCCATTGTATAATGAAATCTTGAACCTTTAGTGCATAAACTCACATATATAATTTGCAAGAAACACCTGATTTTCATTAAAATTTACTTCAGTGTAGATGGCCTTGTAACAAGTTTACATTACATTTTTTGCATTTGAATAAAAATTAATGAATTGTGGCGTTATCGTACATAGACAGAATTATCAATGGTATATGATACACAGGCAGTAGCTATAGATGATTTTAATGTCTAGTGATTATTTTCTCTCTATGGGATTGTACCTTAGAGGCAAGGATGGTGGAAATTCATCTCACGTACTTTGGATAGGTTGTCAGGAGAAACCAGTCCCTGGAGAAGGACATCATGCTTGGTAAAGTAGAGGGACCGAGAAAGAGAGGAGGCTCTTAAGGACCTGGATTGACACAGTGGCTGCAACAATGGGTTCGAGCATCAGGCCAATTGTGAGGATGGTGGTGGAGGAAGGGGCAGTGTTTCCTTCTGTTAGGAATAGGGTTGCCATGAGTCAGAATCACCTCGACGGCACCTAACAGCAGCACAACATATGCTTCCCAATTTTAGCATCTTTTCAATTTTATGTCTATTTTTACTTTCTACTTCTTGTCCTTGAACCCAGATTTTTTTTTGTTTTTATTTCAGGACAATTTTATATTTCTAATTTCATGTGTATTTTGGTGGTGGTGGTGGGGGATCTAGCTATTTCCATGGATAGCAATGTGGATAAAATACCAAGGCACATGACGCTATTTTTAACTGCAATTGCATTTGCACCTCCATTCATTGCACTAAATGTAAAGCATTTCTCAATCTGAGAAGTTCACTAGTCCTGGTTTTTTGCAGCAATCCTTGACACAGAGCCTATAACAAGAGAAGCCCAAGAACTTCTAACCTTGAAATTTTGTGGTGCTATGGTTTCGGAAGCCAGGGAGACCATTGGGTGCAACCTGGTATCCTGGTGTGTCTGTTTGCATTGCTCCCTTCTGCTTTGATAGGGAATGTGCTCCGACAGTGCAGAAGACAGCTTGGGGGCACTCATCAAACAAGCAAAGAAGCGAGTGAGGGGCTGCTTGGCCCAGGGGGGATAGTGGCAGAACTCATTTTCAATGACGATTGCCTTCTCCCCATTGCTCTCCTGAGGTAATGTTCCCTAGAAATGGAGTTTTCAATAAATCCATGTTTATTGGTTAAGTTTAATTTAAGTAGTCTTGCGTCTCCATATTCATTTTGTATAGATTCGGAAAACTTGGATATCTTACATTCGCCTTAGCTATGGCTAAGTGTTTCTTTTTGTCAGATTTCTCTTTTCCTGCATGTTGAGAACATTCATCATTTAAAACTTAAAATACATCTGGAATGAGACCCCCTGTATCCATTTACTCGCTGGGAAGCGGTTCAGCTTTATTACTCAGTCTGGTCCATTTTGACAAAAAGATATTGCTACCACAGGAAGCTAAGATACCAAAGGTTGCTGTTGAGCAATTTTATGATAATATATGTAATTTATTTTGATGTGAATATTATATGTTCCCCCCCCCCAACATTTTCTTTTTCATAAAGGTAGCATGGTGCTAAAATACTGTTCAAAAAGACTCCATGTAGGCATTCTGAGTGCCTAGCTTGGCTATCACAAGCACGTTTTCTAGAATGATTTACTTCCTTATTGTGTTACTTTAGGCTAGGTGGAATGAAATTATACCTTCCGTTTTTGCATAGTTAAAAAGTAAAGACATTTCTGTTCCAACAAGAAGCAAGGAGTGCTGATAAAAATTCACAAAATAATGTCAAGGCTTTCAGATAGTTTAGAACCTCGTTGGGGCCATGTTTTAATAGTGACTGGGGAACACATGCTCTCTGTCCCTTTGCCTCAAAAGTACACACAGGTCTCAGAATCAAGCAGCTTCTCGAATTGTAGCCAGAAGAGAGTCAAGAGACCTATTTCAACTGGCT